TAAAGGAGGGAGGCATGCTAGACTCTCCTTGCCCTTCTCCCTCTCTCTCCTGCCCACTGGCTGGTGATCAGGCACTGTCAGGACCTATGCCCAGGGAGACAGGCGTTGGCGAGACAGATGGTTGTTTACTTCCTAGCAGAGGTCTGTTGTGTTTTCATAGCTCAGAATAGTTCCTTTCCCTCTCCAGGCCAGCAGGGCAGGGGAACCTCATTGTTTGTTTTCATAATTCCAGGCCTCACTTCGTCCTCTTCTCTGCATCATGGTCCTCCTTTGAAAATTCTCAGAGGGGGTGGGGCATGGGTGAAGAGGGTCCAAGACTACTAATTTCCTAATTATGCCCCCTAGCTGGGCTCCGGAAGAGGGAAGGACTAATAACTGACTGTACAACATGGGTGTTTTGCTTGGGATGAGAACTCTACAGCTATTAAAGAAAGAGTTGATTAAAGGACTGCAGGGCAGCACTGAGGGAGAAAAAAATGAGGATGGAAGGGATGCCCTCTCTCCCAAGCTGGATCTCGCCTGGATACCAGGCTCTACATAGGGAACTGACTTCCGCTAGAGAATTGTGAGGGGCCTCTTGGACTCCTGGTGCACCTCAGGTCTCGCTGGGTCCTGGCGGCACCAGTGTTTGGAAGGTGCCCTGAGATGGGAGGAATAACTGGCTTCGCGGAATACTCTTTCAAAATCTTTGAATTTTTTTTAACTTGTGAATGTATTACTTTTGAAAATATTTTAACTAAAAAAATGTGAACACATTTATCTTTTCCTTCTGGCAATAATGAATCATTTACTGTTCCTCTGTCAGGTTGTTAAAAGTCAGGCCCCACCTCCTTGGAGCTACTTTCAAAGGAGCACCAAAGACTCAGAGAGAGTTAAACCTGAAGGGAGGGTGAGGGCCACCAAGTCTCGTTTTACAATGGACAAAAGTAAAACCCAGAGCACTCCAGTGACTTGGCCAAGGTCACACAGCTCTTTAATCTTCCTATTTAATCTTTAATTTTTTTTCCTTTTGAATCCTTTGATGGCAGTGGGGGAGGGGAAGTCTCCTGGTCTGCCTGATAAAGGCTTGAGGGTGTTTCTGAGAGTCTTCTAAGGAAAACCAAGAGGCTCCTTCTGTCCCACACCCACCTCCTACCCTCCAGCCCCCACCTCACTCCACCCCCATCAGGCTGAGCTGTGGTTGAGCAATTATGACAGTTTCCCTCCCCTCCTTCTTTCGTTGGTCCCAATTCTTCAAAGTGTCCATGAGTTGAAGCAAGAAGGGATGGCAGTTGGGGCTGAATCCTTAGCTCAAGTCACACTTTCCATCTCTCCTCAGACAACCCCTCTTTGCCTCTGGAGTACAGATCAAGACGAAGGGGAAAATGAGCTTTTTCCCAAAAGTCCTCACCACTGTTTTGGAGACTTACTTCCTTTGCCTCTGCCTCTGCTGTGCACCATTAACAAAGTTTAACTCCTGGCAGGATGGATCAAATCTGACAGCAAGAATGTTTCCCAGCTGCTAGGGTCATTTGGCCCTGCCAAAGGGTTGATTAAGAGTGAGAGAAATGTCTACCATCTGGACAAAAGAGAACTGGTTAACCATTTGTGGAAACAGGATATTCTCTGGAGGGAATAACAGCTTCTTGGGGGAGGGGTGTTAAGGAAGAAAGAGGAGAGGAAGAGGATGGTCAGTCTGTGCTTCCCATAAAGGCTCCAGCAATTCATTTGATTCATTTGATTTCAGTAGAAGGCGGACCCTAGCATGGCAGGAGGAAGGTGGTGAGCTGGAAGGTCTTAACTGTTTACAATGAAGCAAATGCCCCCTGGTATTTTTCTGTGGACAGTATGTCCAGCCCATCCTGAGACGTGCAGCATGCTCCCTCGACCTGGTCAATAGATGCACAGTTCAAGGTCCTGAGGCTGAACTTTCTCACCATGCTGGAGATAAGTCAGCCATTTTCACTGGCTATCAATGATTAATCCACCTCTCCCTCCACCTGTTTGTCTCAACATGTTTTTGTAAAAAATGAACTGTGTCACTCACTTAAAAGGTGACAGCAGTTGATCCAGCCACTTTCTACTGTCTAGCCCTAAACACCTCCCCCACTGGTCACTTGGTAGGAAAAAAAGCACCCAAAAAGAAATTAAAAAACACAAAAAACTGTACATCTTGCCGTTTGGGCTGTAATCCTTCAGAGAAATCTACCCTGCTGCTCAGACGAAGCCTTGGATTGAAGCAGGGTTTTGCATCCAAACTACGATGTGCAGACAAGACCCATTCTAGTGATAATGGCTGAGCAAAGTAAAGGCAGCTCCTCTCTCAACAGGACCCAGAGCCCCAGTCAGAATAGAGGACTTGGCTGCAGGGAAACTCAGAATTTCTTTTTGGTAATAAATGCAATTTTTGGATGAGGTGTGTGGTAAATTGTGGCTCCTTCCCCTTTGCTTTCCTGCTGACGAATAAATTTGTTTGAGTGAATGAGTCAATCTTGCTCTGGAAGGAGAAGGTGCTAGGACACTGGAACCAGCTTCCCTTATTTAACAGCAGACCAGACTGTACTTTCTGGCACATTTCCTTCATGTTTTTCCCAAAGCAAGATCCTCAAAGCTCTTCTGTTTGTGGAGAAAGTGCCTGAGGAGTGCTTGGCTAGTGTACCTTTCAAAGAGGGGCTCATATAATTTTCCATCTTCATCCTTTCCCGGACTCAGCTGCTCGTTTCCCCAGAGGGTATTAATAAGTCTTGAGTCAGCTCTACTGAGGACAAAATAACAGGGAGCTCACTTATATTTGTAAAATGGATTCAATTTTGATCTAAGGATCCCCCCGTTGACATAGTTAGTTAGTAAATATCTGGCCTCCCTGTCCCACTAGAGTGTCAAGGTTCAGGAGGACAGCCGGGATTTAACTTGGAATTCCTCAGAGAGCCAGGCATGGCACTTTGCTCAGGAAATGTTTGTTGAATTAAACTGGAGAACTTCTTGAAAGGGAAGATGACAGGAGTTGGCGAGAGATGATGGAATCCCCTCTCTGGAGATAGTTCTTTAAATGAGTGAAATCTCTCCGAAACCTCCAGCAACTCAAATGCTTCATCCACAATATTCATCTCAAATATCCACAAGTCCTTTGAGGATCTGAGAACTCTACAATTTCTGTCTTCAGCCAGCTTTCTAGCAGGCTCAGGTCCTTTGGGGCCTCACCTCTTTCTGCACATAATAAAAATTTGCTGGAGGCAGCAGGAAAGGGCTGGAAGGTGGAAAGGTGGAGACTAACAAGTAGTCTCTTGACGTACACAATTGCTCTGACCAAGAGGATCCCCCTGCCTGGTGGGCAGCCTGCCAGAGGGACTCTCCCACTACCCTGTGCGCCCAGGATTGGCTATCAGCTCCATCATGACTCCTTATCAACACGAGCCTTCTCCCTGAGAAGATAGGGCTCTCCATATGCTGAGCGCATGATGGAACCCCACCCGACTCAGAGACTCTGGCTCCTAGCAGCCCTGTGGAGACCCAGACGGTGGCCTTTGAATACTTTGTCAGAGGATCTGCTCTATTTGCCCTCAACTCACCTCAGACCATAGCAATTCCAGTCCCCAGAGTACACTACAACGGTTACTCAATACTTTCGAGGAACGCTTCTCTAGGTAGAGGGAAAAGGCCATCTCTTCTGGTGGGATCCACGACTGTGGCCTGGCAGTCCCGGTAACACAGAATACCCTGCCCCACAACACTGCCAAGTGCATGCTTCATTTGCAGCCCGCCCACGGCCGCCACCACGACAACCTGCTCTTCCTGGACCAGCAGGGACAGTGTGGTCAAGGGCAGTTGGAGTCGGCTTGAGAGCCTGGGGGCACGGGGGTGAGACTCCAGATCACACCTCCTGGATGATGTTTTAATCATTTCCAGCATGGAATGTTGTCAACCTTTGCTACAGACTCATTAGCTCTGAATTTCTTTTCCCTGTCCCCAATCTACCTCTCACAAGACAATATGGACTCACTGATGGGAAATTCAAGAGGGCTTTGAAAAGCTTTATTCCCGCTAGCTCCTATCTTTGAAAATGTATCAGTTCATTGCCTGATTCAGCTCCCTGCTCCTTTCAGAGTTCCAGGTGATCCAAGTGTGTGAGGTTTTGGTCTCTGCACTGCTGCAGGATGATTTCTGCTCATGCAGGTGAGCAGGTGGCATCGTTTCTCATAACTTGGTGTTTGTTGCTTTTATTTATTCCTTGTCTACATCCATGGCTATAATAAAATTATATTGACTTTCTGGTGATTATATGTGTCTGTGTACGTATACATATATATATGTATGCATAATAATACATATGTTTTATATATATTTATACTATATATTATATAGTATATATTATAAAATTATAGATACACATGTATGTATGTATATGTAATGTATACGTATAATATGTAATATATATATATATATAATATATAAATCCAAGTACAAATGAAAGAAAACTCAAAATACATAAGCCCTTTCCAGAGTCCCTAGTCACCAGTTGCTGATGTTTTTATTTAGAACCATATATTCATCATATTGTTTTTGCATGAACATACATTCATTCTATCACTTAAACTTATGTGTTAAAACCCCAAAGGTCCTAACTTTGAGGGCATTAAGTGAATTAATCAGTGCATTCAGAGATGATTATTTTCTGGCCCCAAGAGATATGGAGCCAATACTGGGAAGAGGGTTTGATCTCCCAAACCAGAGGCATTTCCTAGCAGTTAAGAAAGGCCCAGCAAGGTGTCAGTTCCCAGTATAATAGAGCTTACCATATTTTAAAACTTAAAACTTGAATAGCTAGAGCACAAAGACTTTTCTTTGTACTCAAATAAGTGCAGTGCAGACTTAGGAAATCAGACATCTTTGCAAGAACCATGGTGCATTTAGACTCTGTCCTGGGTCTCTGGCCCAGTTTCAGAGCCAGGAGGGCAGCCCCTTGCCCTGCCAAGCTGCATGCCAAGGTTAATAATTGGCCCTGCCGAGTACATGGCCGATCAGGCTGTTTTCGTGTGCCTGTTTTTCTATTTTACGTAAATCACCCTGAACATGTTTGCATCAACCTACTGGTGATGCACCTTTGATCAATAAATTTTAGACAAAAGTAGTTTTTGAGTCCAAAGATCAGGGCTGGGTTGACCTACAGACTGGATCCTGGGTGTATAAAACAGGGGCAAGGCGCAGGCTGATAGCAGAGCAATCACCACCAAGTCTGATATAACTACAAGAGCTCAGCTGAAGCCTTCCTGAAGGGCCAGGGAGCGAGGATGGAGGAAGGAATGAACGTTCTCCATGACTTTGGGATCCAGTCAACACGCTACCTCCAGGTGAATTACCAGGACTCCCAGGATTGGTTCGTCTTGGTGTCCGTGATCGCTGACCTCAGGAATGCCTTCTATGTCCTCTTCCCCATCTGGTTCCATCTTCGAGAAGCTGTGGGCATCAAACTCCTCTGGGTAGCTGTGATTGGAGACTGGCTCAACCTTGTCTTTAAGTGGTGAGTAAGAGCCAGACAGAGGAGGTCGGCAAGGGAAGAGGCTGGCATTCTCTCTGGAAATGTCTGTCCATCAGAAGTTGCCTTCTCTATACTATTCAGGAAGCCACAGGTTACTCTCCTCCTGACTTTGGATCATCAACATAAAGAGGGAAGACAGAGAAAACGCTGTCAGTGAGTTGAAAATACAGGAAAAGCTATTTCATATGGATGGAAGGCAAGTGGACAGTGAAAAGTCTGAATTACAGACTATACGCAAAGAAACATAGTTTTATGACTTTTTTGTGTGTGTGTGAGGAAGATCAGCCCTGAGCTAACATCCATGCTGATCCTCCTCTTTTTTTGCTGAGGGAGACCGGCTCTGAGCTAACCTCTATTGCCAATCCTCCTCCTTTTTTTTTTTTTTCCCTCAAAGCCCCAGTAGATAGTTGTATGTCATAGTTGCACATCCTTCTAGTTGCTGTATGTGGGACGTGGCCTCAGCATGGCTGGAGAAGCAGTGTGTCAGTGCGACCGGGATCCGAACCCGGGCCGCCAGTAGCGGAGCGCGCACACTTAACCGCTAAGACACGGAGCTGGCCCAGTTTTACGACTTTGAAGCAGAATAGGTAACATGAAGGTAGATGTATGAAAGAAAGATGATGTATGAAAAAAGGAAACACAATGATAATTTAAAAACCAGTTGTGTGGAGTAATGAGAAATAATCCAGAGAAGTGGGCTCCAGCCTTATTCAGCCACAGCTGTTATGTCCTGGGCAAGTCACAGGAACTCTCTGAGTTTCTGTTTTATAATCTGTGAACTTAGCTTATCTCTGGGACCTTAATAATAATCGTAGTTAACATTTATTGAACATTTAATATATGTCAGGCCATGTGCTAAGTGCTTTTCTGTGGGGTAGGTACCACTATATTACAGGTGAAGAGACTGAGGCCCTGAGTTAAGCGCTAGACCAACATAGGTAGTAAATGTCAAAGGCAGGATTTAAGCTCAGGCAGGCTGGCTTCAGAGGCAAGGCTGTTAAGAGCTCTGTTATATCCAGTGCTGATAAACTGACTCTCGGGGGGAAAAAAGCCCTGGTTTTAGGGTTTGCCAGTTTCTACCGTGTACGTATTCCCATTATGGCCACTTTCAAGCTACCGATGAGTCCAGCTTGCAAAAATCCTGAATATTTTACAATTATTAGCCAGTACAAACTCACTCTAGCACATTACTGGTTCGGCCTCTATTTCCTCAACTGGAAAGTGAAGAGGTTGGACCAGCTGCCCCTCTAAGAACTTTACCATCCATAAAACCATCTATGTCTACTGTCAGGCAATTCTTTTTTTTTCCAGTTTTATTGAGAAATAATTGACATACATCACTGTATATGTTTAAGGCGTACAGCATGATATATACTGTGAATTATTACTACGATAGGTTCAACTAACACCCATCTTCTCATATAGAAGCGATTCTTTTTTGTGTGCGTGTGAGGAAGATCAGCCCTGAGCTAACATCCATGCCAATCCTCCTCTTTTTGCTGAGGAAGACTGGCCCTG